TGAGAAGATTAATAGTAATGCAGACTTAGTAAATAGTTTGACAGTGTTGAGGGAAGAAAGAAGGGAAGGAAGGAAGAAAGAAAGAAAGCAAGAAAGCAAGCAAGCAAGCAAGCAAGCAAGCAAGCAAGCAAGCAAGCAAGCAAGCAAGAAAGAAACCAAGAAAGAAACCAAGAAAGAAAGCAAGAAAGCAAGAAAGAAAGAAAGAAAGAAAGAAAGAAAGAAAGAAAGAAAGAAAGAAAGAAAGAAAGAAAAAAAAAGGCCGGGCCTTTTTTTACGGCCAAATCGAGAGGGAGGAGGGACAAGGGGGAGGCGAAGAAGTTTTATAAAGTTCCTCACCGAGCAATTATTTTCCTGCCAGCCGCGTTAACCATCGTGCGTGCGGTCAGTCTTTGGGGTGGGCGGGAGAGGTGTTGGCCGAAGCGCAATTGGTAGAAAAGGAGGGGTGGGTTACCTTTTTAATCCGAAGATTTTGAGCAGGGGTTCTCCAATCTTGGCAACTTTTAAGACTTGTGGACTTCAACTCCCAGAATTGAAGTTGCCAAGATTGGAGACCCCCAATCTTGAGGTTTAACAGGATTGGAAGGGCTGTCTGGATAGTAGTTGGGCCTCGCGGGCAAACTCGCAGCGGCAAAAAAAAAAAAAGAACCTACCCCTCCTTTAACATGAGGTTTAAATCCCCGGAGGGTTTCTCCCCCACCCCCAGCAATTACTTTTTCTAGGTTTGGGGGCTTTATCTTCCAAACAGTGCTCTTAAGTGCCGGAATCACAGAATCGCAGAATCACAGAAACTCTTCCAGGGAAGGAGTGTGTGCTAGCCTCCTACAGATACAAGTAACAAAATTACAATAATACAGTCATAAGTGGAAGGAGATGGGTGGTGGGAACGATGAGAAGATTAATAGTAATGCAGATTTAGTAAATAGTTTGATAGTGTTGAGGACAGAAAGAAGGGAAGGAAAGAAAGAAGGGAAGGAAGGAAGGAAGGAAGGAAGAAAAAGAAAGAAAGAAAGAAAGAAAGAAAGAAAGAAAGAAAGAAAGAAAGAAAGAAAGAAAGAAAGAAAGAAAGAAAGAAAGAAAGAAAGAAAGCTAGGAAAAAGAGAGAAAAACAGAAACGGGAGGGAGGGAGCGATACCCATTTCCCTCTACAAAACCTGGGTAGGCGGAGCTGGGGGTGTGTGGTATGTGATTGTGTAGGAGTGACGTTAAATTGGTCAAGTCCACCCATGTCTTGTAGGTGCCGGCATCTTGTTTTCCGTGGGGAACGGGTCTAAGCGGCTCTTTGGGTGTTGAAGATTTCAGATCCCTGCTTTAGGATCATCGGAGCAAAACGCGAGGAGAGAAAAGGAGCCCTCAGGTACTGGACGCTCAGGTGGGGAAGGGGGGCTCTGGGTTTGCCGGGGATGGGGAAGCTCCACTCGCGGTCCTCGGAAAGCCCCTCCCGCTCTTGGCGCCGGAGGGAGCGGCTGCCTGGCCGCGAGTGGTGGTGGTGGTGGTGGTGGTTCCCCGCGTTTTTAATACTGCGCTCCATTATGCGGCCGGGCTTTTTTTTACGGCCAAATCGAGAGGGAGGAGGGACAAGGGGGAGGCGAAGAAGTTTTACAAAGTTCCTCACCAAGCAATTATTTTCTTGCCACCCGCGTTAACCATCGTGCGGTCGGTCTTTGGAGTCGGCAGGAGAGGTGTTGGCCGAAGCGCAGTTGGTAGAAAAGGAGGGGTGGGTTACCTTTTTAATCCGAAGATTTTGAGCAGGGGTTCTCCAATCTTGGCAACTTTTAAGACTTGTGGACTTCAACTCCCAGAATTCCTCAGCCAGCAAAGCTGGCTGAGGAATTCTGGGAGTTGAAGTCCACAAGTCTTAAAAGTTGCCAAGATTGGAGAACCCCGATCTTGAGGTTTAACAGGATGGGAAAGGCGGTCTGGATAATAGTTGGGCCTCGCGGGCAAACTCGCAATGAGATTTAAATCACCGGAGGTGATTTAATAACTTTTTCTAGGTTTGGGGGCTTTATTTTCCAAACAGTGCTCTTAACTTCCGGAATCACAGAATCGCAGGGCCCCTTCTTGCCCCGCGGCAATTTGATTGCGTGGGGCGGTGGCCTAGAAGACGAACATTTTAGACTAGAATAGAATAGAATTTTTTATTGGCCAAGTGTGATTGGATACACAAGGAATTTGTCTTTGGTGCATAAGCTCTCAGTGTACATAAAAAGAAAAAATACATTTGTCAAGAATCATAAGGTACAACACTTAATGGTAGTCATAGGGTACAAATAAGCAATCAAATCATATTAGGAAACAGTCAATATAAATCTTAAGGATACCAGCAACAAGGTTACAGTCATACAGTCATAAGTGGAAGGAGATGAGTGATAGGAACCATGAGAAGAATAATAGTAGTGCAGACTTAGTAAATAGTTTGACAGTGTTGAGTGAATTATTTGTTTAGCAGAGTGATGGCGTTTGGGAAAAAACTGTTCTTGTGTCTCGTTGTTCTGGTATGCAGTGCTCTATAGCATCATTTTGAGGGTAGGAATTGAAACAGGATGTGAGGGGTGTGTAAATACTTTCACATCCCTCTTTTTGACTCGTGCAGTATACAGGCCCTCAGTGGAAGGCAGGTTGGTAGCAGTTGTTTTTTCTGCAGTTCTAATTATCTTCTGAAGTCTGTGTCTGTCTTGTTGGGTTGCAGAGCCAAACCGGACAGTTATGGAGGTGCAGATGACAGACTCAATAATTCCTCTGTAGAACTGAATCAGCAGCTCCTTGGCCAGTTTGAGCTTTCTGAGTTGGCGCAGAGTTGGGATGATAGTAGAGCGTTTGAAGCAAGAAGGAACATAGCAGATCTCTAGTGATTTATTGACGATACGGGTGAAGATGGGGGCCAATTGGTCAGCACAGACTTTTAAGCAAGATGGAGTTATCTTGTCTGGGCCTGGAGCTTTTCCTGGCTTTTGTCTGTGAAATAGGTCTTGCACTTCCTTTTCTGTGATCACATAGGGTTGTGAACCCAGTGGGATGGGATCAGTTGTAGGAGGTTTGGCTGTTGTTGGTGTGTCTGAGATGGGGGTTGTGGAGATAGGTGGCTGTAGTTTCCTTTCAAACCTGCAGTAAAACACATTCAGGTCATCTGCCAGTTGTTGATTTCCTTCAGCCTGGGAAGGAGGTTTGCCATAACCGGTGATATTTTTAAGAGTTTTCCACATGTTTGCTGGTTCATTTGTTGAGAACTGATTCTTTAGCTTTTCAGAGTAGCTTCTTTTTGCTGCTCTGATCTCCGTTGTTAATACATTTCTGGCCTGATTGTACAGCATTTTATCACCTTTTCTGTAGGCTTCCTCTTTGGAACAACGTAGCTGCTTAAGTTTAGCTGTGAACCAAGCAGGGTGGATAAAAATCAATGATTTTTTTAAAAAAATCAAAAAAATCAGATTTTTTAAAATTTAAATCGGATTTTTTTTATTTAAATAGGATTTTTTTATTTTTATTGAATTTATTTTAATAAAAAACTTTTGGGGTAAAAATCTATCGTAAGATAGTTTTCTATTTAAGATACATAAATAATTTAGTTTATTCAGCATGAAATGGAGCTTAGTTATGTAGCATGAGGCTATATATTCTGCAACACTGGGACTATCGGTGAGTCAACAGCGGGTCAAAGGAGTAGCAGAGATGACAGTTGCTCTTTAAAAATTATGATTTAAATCGAGTTAATTTAAATCAAGTCTTTTTACTAGTGATTTAAATCATGATTTAAATCATGATTTAAATTGACTCGATTTAAATCAAATCCACCCTGGAACCAAGGTTTGTTGTTACTCTATATTTGCAAGTTCCTGGTCGGTACACACAGGTCTTCACAGAAGCTGACATATGATGTCTCAGTATCTGTGAGTTCTTCTAAGTCTGCAGAGATACTTTCAAAAACATTCCAGTGAAAGTTGTCTAAAAGCGTTTCTGCCTCTGTCTGAGAGTTAATTGCTTTCCAACAACAACTTTGCGGTGGAGAAACTAAAATTCATGTAGGATAGGAATGGGATTGGGATTAAGATTAGGATAGGGATTAGGATAGGATATAGAGAATTCTTTTTTTTTTCTTCCATTGGCCAAGTGTGATTGGACATAAAAGAAATTTGTCTTTGGTGCATATGCTCTCAGTGTAAATAATAATAATAATAATAATAATAAAAATACATTCATCAAATACATTAAAAATACATTCATCCAGAGTCATAAAATACAACACATAGTGATAGTCATAGGATACTAAATAAACAATCAAATCATACTAAGAAACAATATAAATCGTAAAGATATAAGGAATAAGGTTATAGTCATAAGTGGGGAGATAGGTAATAGAAAGGATGAGAAGAATAATAGTAATACAGTCTTAGTAAATAGTTTTGACAGTGTTGTGGGAATTAGTTGTTTAGCAGTGATGGCATTCAGGAAAAAACTGTCCTTGTATCTAGTTATTCTTGTGTGCAGTACCCTATAGTGTTGTTTTGAGGGGAGAAGTTGAAACAATTTATGTCCAAGATGTGAGGGGTCTGTAGATATTTTCACAGCCCTCTTTTGGACTCGTGCAGTATACAGATCCTCAATGGAAGGCAGGTTGATAACAATTGTTTTTTCTGCAGTTCTAATTATCCATTGAAGTCTGTGTCTGTCTACTTTGGTTGCAGAGCCAAACCAGACAGTTATGGAAGTGCAGACGACAAACTCAATAATTCCTCTGTAGAACTGAACCAGCAGCTTCTTGGGCAGTTTGAGCTTTCTGAGTTGGCACAGAAAGAACATTCTTTGTTGTGCTTTTCTGATGATGTTTTTGATGTTAGGCATCCCTTTTAAGTCTTGAGATATGATAGAACTTGAAGGTCTCTACTGTTGATACTGTGTTGTCTAGTATTGTAAGAGGTGGTAGTATAGGAGAGTTTCTCCTAAAATCTACCACCATTTCTACAGTTTTGAGTGTGTTTAATTCAAGATTGTTCTGGTCGCACCACAAAGCTAGTTGTTCAACCTCCTGTCTGTATGCAGATTCGTCATTGTCTTGAATGATACCAATCACTGTTGTATTATCTGCAAACTTCAGTACTTTAACAGAGGGATCCTTTGAGATGCAGTCACTGGAGAGAAGAGAAGTGGAGAGAGCACATAGCCCTGGGGAGAGGCTGTGCTAATTGTACAGGTATCTAATGTGATTTTGCCTAACTTCACCTTCTATGTCCTCTGTTACAAAGCTTATGATCCACTTACAAGTATGGTCAAGTACTGCTAGCTGTTTTAGTGTAGTTAGAAAGATACCTGGAATGATGGTATTGAATGCCAAGCTGAAGTCTACAAAGAGGATCTTTGCATAGGTCTTTGGAGATTCAAGATGTTGTAGGATTTGTGTAGAGCCATATTAACAGCATCATCTGTCGATCTATTTGCTTGGTAGGCAAATTGCAAGGGGTCTAACAGTGGCTTCGTAACTTGCATTTCAAAGGTTTTCATAACTACAGATGTTAGAGCAACTGGTCTGAAGTCATTCAGTTCCTTGATGGAGGGTTTCTTTGGCGCTGGGAAGATAGTACAGCGTTTGAAGCAAGAAGGAACATAGCACATCTCTAGTCATTTATTAAAGATGTGGGTGAAGATGGGGGCCAGTTGGTCAGCACAAGCTTTTAAGCAAGAAGAAGTTATCTTGTCTGGGCCTGGAGCTTTTCTTGGCTTTTGTCTGTGAAATAGACCTTGCACCTCATTTTCTGTGATCACCAGAGGCGATGGGCCCAATGGGATGGAGTCAGTTGTAGGAGGTTTGGTTGTTGTTGGTATGTCTGAGATGGGGATTGTAGAGATAGATGGCAGTAGATTCCTCTCAAACCTACAGTAAAACACATTCAAGTCATCTGCCAGTTGTTGATTTCCTTCAGGATGGAAAGGTTCCTTTGCGTTTGGGGGTTGTATTTTGCAAGCGGGGTGTTGCTGGTTCTGTTAAGGACAGGTGTAATGTGATGATTAGGAGGACTACTTTATGGCATTTTGTGTACGTGTGTTTTCTAGTCTTGTGATAACTTTCACGTTGTGGACGGCATGAAGAAGCAGAGCACCAGCACTTTGTGTTGTTGGGCTATGGAGGAAAAATTGTTCTTAAAACGTTTGTTAATTATGTTGTTGAACTCCACAGTTGAAAATATAAGAATAGACACTAAAAGAGGAAAGTGCAAAGACAGGAAATGCAGGAACAATAGAGATGAAATGTAGAGTGGCAATGTGATACAGGAAACAACTACAATAGTTATGGCATGTGTGGCTTTCTCTGCTTCCTGTATTTAAGATGCCCCTTCATTTCCAAGTAAATTTTTTTTTTTAAAAAGTAGCATCTTACACACAGAAAAATACGTAATATATAAGCTTTGAAACAGCACAGCAATCGAGCACTGGAAGTTACCTCAGAGGTCATCTAGTCCAACCCCCTGCTCAAGTAGGACCTTATACACTGCTCAAAAAAATAAAGGGAACACAAGCAGAAGACATCCAAGATCTAAATGAATGAAATAGCCGTATTAAATACTTTGTTCGTTACATACAGTAGTTTTGTGTTCCCTTTAGTTGTTTGAGCAGTGTATAAACTACTGTATGTAACGAACAAAGTATTTAATAAGGCTATTTCATTCATTCAGATCTCGGATGTCTTCTGCTTGTGTTCCCTTTATTTTTTTGAGCAATATATTATCTGGGTTATTTTGGTGCCTCTAACAGAGAGGAAAATTTCCAGAAAGGGGAAGGCGTTTACTAGAACAAGGCTGCCATGCAGAGAAAGACAGAGATGGTCCTTGACTTATGACCACAACTGAGCCCAAAATTTTGGTTGCTAAGCAAGAGTGTTGTTAAGTGAGTTTTGCCGCATTTTACTCAATACGTCCTCCAAGAGTGAACATCAATCACTGTGGACCAGATTGAGAATTTGAGAGCAAAAGCCTGCTGGATTACCGATGACTGACACACTCATAAGGGAAGGGTAAGGGTACCCCTTGACTTATGTCCACCATTAAGCCTCAAATCTCCGTTGCTAAGAGAGACAGCTGTGAAGGCCTCAGGTCCTGAGAAGGCTCTATAAGTATCCAGAGGCCTTCATGGCTGCTCTACCAGGTGCTGGTCTGTGGCTCATTTTTTGAAAATTTGTTCCTTTATTATTAATGGTTGAACCTTGATCATAAAAGTCAGAAGCTACCCATCACAGCTGGTTTACCTACCTATTGACTCACATGGGGAGGAATCAGAATGGGTGAATTGTTAAAGATTACGGGGAAAATAATCGCAAGACGAATTCCTCTAGTCTAGGCATCAAGTCAGGTCTTCCCCTTTTGTGTTTGTGTGGATTTTCTACCATTGAATATTCTGTTCTTTGGGATATATAGTGCTGATTTATTAATTTCCAGAAAGTATGGTTCTTAATGAAACAATCAGGAGAAGATTGGTGTGATGTAGAACTGACATTCAAATCTTTGTTCATCCACAATTTTCATTTCCATTTCAGCTCAGAGGATCATCAGAAGGAGGAAACTGGAAAGAGAATATCAGGTATATGAATTCTTTTTTTTTTAATATTTTTTTATTTTTTTAAAACACATAAACATACAAAAATCTTTTCAGAACAAGCCATTGATCCGATCATAAGTAGGTACAATTACTAATTCCTCTTTAACAAAAACTTTTCCCAAATCCCCACTAATTACCATCTTTTTTTTAAAAAAAAGCAAAAAAAAATTATCTAACATATATCATTTTACACAAATCAATTGCCTTCTATTATTTCACCACAAATCTTAGTTTTCCAATAACACAACTTAATATTCTCTAACATTGTTGCCATAAATTCTATCTGATAAAAGAAAAAATTCTTAAAACCCATTACACTGATCTTAAAATCCTTAATTTAATATCATTTCAATTTCTTTTCCTTTTAATATGGATGGGTATATCTTAAAAGTATAAATCATCAAAGTATTTACACAGTATTTTAACTATTAGCATTTATCATCTTCATTTTACTATTTATCTCATCTTAACCCTTTTAATCACAACATAATCATTTCATTGTTAGTATTAATTATTATACTGGGATAAACCTTATTTCTAAAGGTTTATCCCAGTATATAATCTTCATCTTAATCATCCTCTTTTGGCTGTTAATCACAGCATAATCTTCTTAAGTTTTACTGTTACGCCCAGTATAATCATCATTTTTACTGTCAATCCCAGCATAATTATTTTTATTTTTACTGTTATACCCAGTATAATCATCTTATTTTGCTGTCAAACCCAGCATAATTGTCTTTATTTTTACTGTTATATCCAGTATAATCATCTATGTTTTGCTGTCTATCGCAGCATAATCACCTTAGTTTGCTGCTTATCCCAGCATAATCACCCTTTTTTTTTTACCATCCATCTATATATTACTTATTAATGTTCAATCACATTGTCATTATCATCTTTATAACAATTTAACATTGAGGCTTAGTTCTTACTCCAAACACATCCTTATGTAAATTAATAAATTTCTGTTAATATATTCTATTCCTCTCATATTCTAACTTTCTTCTTTATTTCAATTTTTTATATATTATTTATTTATTTATTGGTTGGATTTATATGCTGCCCTTCTCCAGAGACTCAGGACGGCTTACAATGCGTTAAGCAATAGCCTTCATACTTTTGTATATACCTGCTTAGTAGGGCTTTCAGCCTCCCCAAGCGGTGTTCTTTTTTATACAAAGTCAGCTTATTGCACCCACAAACCGGGTCCTCATTTTACCTACCTCGAAAGGATGGAAGGCTGAGTCAACCTTGAGCCTGGTGAGATTTGAACTTACAATAATTGCAGGCAGCTGGTGCTACTTAACAGCACTTTAGTCTGCTGTGCCACCAAGGCTCAATGGACCTTGATTCTACCTTGAACCTTGAATTATATCAAATTCTTCTCATATTCATATTCATTTTTATTCATCTAAAGAAACCCCCTTTTTATTATTACTGTCCATCTATGCATTGCTTTATTTTTAATCACATTGTTTCTATCTTTTTTTTCCAGCCGTGTGTATATCGTTCCTCATTTCCTTGTCTGTTAGCATATATTTCATTTCAATTTCAATGTTCACAATTTAATTCTCTATATATCAATTTAGTTCTTTTTCTTACTTCTATTTCAAGCAAATCACATCAATTTTCTTTTGTTCCTGTGCCATTTGACTTCTTTTGTTCCTGCACCAATTAGTCCAATTATAAGAGTTCCATCATACTTTCCCCCTTTTTTCCCCTCACCAAAGTCAAATCGCCTGCAGACAAAAAACAGCTCCACCACCAAAATCCCACAGTTGTTATCTGTAATATTCACAATGTTCCCAAACAAGGAGCAAGTTACAATGTTTCTTTTTAACCAGAAGGTGTCCCTCTACAATCCACAATTTCCTTTAGTCATGCAAATCACCATTTTGTTTCAATTGTATAACATTCCAGCTTAATTCTCTCCTCCTCCTATATTTTAAAGATAATTCTTCTTTATCTTCTTTTCTTTAAAAATTCAATTCAAATTTAAAGTTGTTCAATTTTGAACTAAGTCTCAATGTTAGTCTATTCAAATATCAATTTTCAGTCGGGTCTTTTTCTTTTCGTTTAAAAATTTCATCTTAAAATCATCTATGCCCCATAGCTCCTCAGCCATTTTTTTAAGGCTAGGGGTCTTACAAATAAAAAAAGCTATTATTCCAAATGTTGTTTCGAGCCTGGGTTGGTTGTCACTCACCCGGCTTCAAAAGGCATCATTCTTTTCCACTTTCCTCTTGCACATCACTTGCCCGGTTTGTTCCAGCTTCGTGGCAGCCGCCATGGCTGCCGCCCCCCACCGCCGACTTGCAGAGAGTTCCCTCCAACCTCTGAGGAACTTGCCTGTTTCTCTTGGTAGTACGAGGCGCCTCTCTTCCATCCCTGTCCCTGCAGGACGGTTCTGGTCCGAAGACCTATCGGCGGCAGTTCGGCAGTCGGGGTTTCCGCGGGGCTCATCAGAGCCCACTATTTCCCCAACTGTCTCGCCATGACCTCAAATCGGAAGTCTCCAGTATATGAATTCTTGAAGAAAAGGTGGAGCATGCAACTAAAAGATACCGTGTTTCCCCGAAAAATAAGACCCTGTCTTATATATATTTTTTAACCCTGAAATAAGTGCTTGGTCTTATTGCCATGTGCTCAAAAGCCCAATTGGGCTTTTTATCAGGGGATGTCTTATTATAGGAGAAACGGTATAATTAATATAATGAATTTTATAATTAAACCGAATAAAATAAATCCAAGATAAACACATAAATGACCCTCTGGTAGCAAATAACTCTCAGCCCTTCTAGGTAAACTAGATAGGAAACCTAACCAGATGTGCACATTACTTTGTTTTCGGGCTATTTGAACAAGAATCTTGCAAGTCCGAAAGTACAAATCTCCCACTGCCTCCTTTTACAGCTTGATCAATTTAGGGTGGACCTTTCCTAACTTTCTTTCTCTGGCTGTTAAGCAGCTGTGGGCTCCTCTCTCTTTTATCTGATCATTCTCTAGGCAGCATCTTTCCCCATCACTTAAGGTCATTCCCACATACTATTACAATAGTTTTCTATATGCCGTCTGAGTGATACTCCTATGGTAGCTCCAGTTCTATTTCTGGGGGTGAGATAGTGGTGTTCGGAGATTTCTAAGGGTGGTCCTGCCAAGCTGATGTTTCATATTACAGAGTGTTTCTATGAAACTGTTGGAAAAGTGGAAATAATTGTAACGTAGTGTGATATTTAGCAGAACACTTCTTCCCATTAAGCTCAGCATTGGTTCTCTCCAGAGTCTGTCCATGTCTCTGCATTGCAAAGGACTAGATGAGGAAAAGTAAGTGGAAACTTCATTTGCACAAGATAAAATTGTTCCTAATTTTTATTGGCATTGGGAAAATATGCCTGATTTGAATATTGAAGTTCTTCAAGTAACAATCCTTGAAGGCATTTCAAAAATGTATCTATCTTGGTTTCAAACTTCAAGTCTCATAACCTCTGGCTGTTCCTGTCAGTGTTCAAGATTCAGTGGAGGGGAGATATTGAAGAAGTTTAGTTTAAGAAAGTATCTTCTCTACAATAATACATTAATGATATACTCCTGTGCAGGAATGAGTAATACCAATTTTTTTTCTTTCCATACAGTCTGAATCCTGATATTTTTTGTCACTAGGAAAAAAATACGAGGAAAAATTACAGGTGAGGTATTCAGATCTTTCTTTCATCTAATAGAGAACAACAGAAAGTGGGAGAAAAACTCTAGAGTACTAACAAAGTTGGAGAAAAATGTTTAATTGAGTCTATGACTAAAACTAATGGTTTCTATTCTAAGCAGAGGAATCACAACAAATAAAGCAGGCGTAAGTTGAATAAGCAAACTTGGACAAAAGTTTTGATCTGCAACATTTGGAAGATGATTGGACCCAAGAAAGAATTAAGGACAACTGGTAAGAGAACTGGCTACCAGTAAGCTGGTCTTCAGTTATCTGTGGTAATTCTGATAAGAACTGTCCTGGGAGCAGACACTCTAACTCTGACCAACCAGGAAGAGCATCTGAGAGGACTCTTCCAGATGATTTTCTAAGCTTTAAGAGGCCTATTGGATAAATCAGAGACTTTCATACCTGGGATTCTGTTTTATCAGTTACATGCTTGCAGAAAAACAATATGCATCACCAAGACTATGGAAATACCCGAGACATAGGCCCAGTTTTGTTCTGTGGCATGGGCACCACCCCCTAATATAATCACCCAAAATCTTGCAAGATGGTCAACTATCATGAGGTTTTTGGCAGTCATTTTGAGTTCTGCCTGTGAACATTCAACAGTGCGAGACTTGAGAGTCTTGTGAGGTTTCAGCCAGGGGTGGGTTCTACTTACCTTTACCACCGGTTCATAATGGTTCGCTTCGCTCACGTGCGCATCTTGCTTCTGCGCATGTGCAGATTTCTGATGACGACATTCGGGGTGGTGGGCGGGGCCTGCAGTCGGTTTTAATACTGATTCTTGCAAACCGGTCCGAACTGGGGGCAACCCACCACTGGGTTTCAGCTACTTAAAATATTTCTTTATATTGTTATGAGTATGAAAGAGGGAGCCCTGGTTGGGAATTGGGGGCAGCATCTTCCTAATAGTGAGAGTAGATCATGTCTCTGTGTATTGTCATACTTGATGTCTTCTGCTTTCCTTTAGACATAGAAGACGATTCTGGAATTTATGATCCTTTCACTCCTGAGAGGACGACTGATGCAAAGAGGGCAAGAAATGATGGTAAATGCAAAGGTGGGTACCTGCCTGACGTCCTTTGTAATCTTTGAGGGGAGGGGAAGTAATGAAACAAAGTGGGTGGAGCTGGGCCACACTTATGGAACAAGCAGGATCCTTTATTTTTTTTCCCCTCTGGTTTTGTTGAGAGGAGATTGAGTGTTCCTTTTTTTTTTTTTTTTAAGAAATACGTCACACAAAGCCAACTTTATGCTAACACTCTGCTTTTGGTCAGTTTCCCACATTTCCTTAGCGGGAATTTCCCATTTTCAGGGCAAAAATCCTGCCACTGAGTTTTGGCATTAGGGTTGGAGAGGGAAATCCAGTTTAGTAATCTGAGGGGAAATAAATTGATGTTAAAACCTTTGTCAGAAAGAACAAGATTTGGTTAAACTTGATTAATAGTGCTGTTGGAAAAGATGGGGAGTTGGGATGGCATGTTCTATTTTTTTTTTCCTGGCTAAAATGGTTTTCTTCAAGTATCTGTACACCGGCCTGCCTGCCCTCGTCCTCAGTTGTTTCCCATCACAGATTGTGTTTTTATAGAGCTGAGGTTTCTGTTTTTTGGAACTGCTTTGCAAAGGGCAAGCACTTTTGCAGAGAAAGTTTTTCTGATCCTTTTTTTCTGGTACATTTATAGTAATTTTTAGCAAGGCAAAGTTAAAGGTGCACTTAATTCCAAGTATGTTATATACTTGCAAGAATTAAGAATTAATGCTACCTTTGCTGGAAAACCCCTCTTAAGGAGGGCCTTTAAGCAGTGGTGGGATTCAGCCAGTTCGCACCACTTCGGGAGAACCGGTTGTTAACTTTCTGAGCAGTTTGGTGAACTGGTTGTTGGAAGAAATCATTAGGGCAGAGAACCGGTTGTCAAATTATTTGAATCCCACCACTGCCTTTAACGCAGAGCTGGGGCCTATGAACATCATTTTTTTTAAAATTTGATTTATATGCCGTCCTTCTCCGGAGACTCAGGGCGGCTTACAATGCGCTAAGCAATAGCCTTCATCCTTTTGTATATTTATACAAAGTCAGCTTATTGCCCACACAACTGGGTCCTCAATTTACCTACCTTAGAAAGGATGGAAGGCTGAGTCAACCTTGAGCCTTGGTGAGATTCGAACCTGCAGTAATTGCAGGCAGCTGTGTTAATAACAGGGTGCATTAGACCACTGTACTATCAAGGCTCTTACCATTGTGGATTAGCCAAAGGAAAGTGAGGAATATCTGCCACAAAGAATCAGCCGCTGTAAGTGGTGTCCCAAAAATGATACAGCCTGACGCAGAAGCCAATCAGAGCCAGACACGAGTGACAGAATATGTGTTGTTACATTCCCTCCATTTCAAATTGATGGCATTATTCAGTTACATTCCTCCCTCCCTCCCAGAATGGGGATATATTGTTTCTTAGTGGGTGATCCACCATGACTCAAGAGCAAAACTTTAATTGTGAACAGATGGAAATACCCTGTTTCCCCCAAAATAAGACATCCCCTGATAATAAGCCCAATCGGGCTTTTGAGCGCATGGCAATAAGGCCAAGCGCTTATTTCAGGGTTCAAAAAAAATATAAGACAGGGTCTTATTTTTGGGAAAACATGGTACATCAGATTTTTCCAACCCAAAGCTGTCCAAATATTTTGAACTTCCGTTCCCAAATTTCCCAGAATGCCAGCTGGAATACACAAAGCTGAAGGAAGACAATTCTAAGTTAAAAAATACAAAAAAAAAAACTGTTTATACAAATTACAACCAGTCATTGGGGGTAAATGTGACAGTGTCTGGCATTAAGAGTAGCTGATACTTTCCATCTATCTGTTCATCTGTCTGTCTTAGTGTGCCATAGTGTCTCTGTCCTATATAGCTACCACAGTGTGACTACAATCTGGGCAGTTTAGAAGACAATAAAATAAATAAATAAAACAGCCACAATAAAATCTTGAACTTCATCTCTTGATATTTTCCTGTCTGTTTTTCAGCTCTCATACTTAAGTGGATTTTCAACACTAAATGCATTATAGCATCTTATATCCTGAACGTCATTTCGGTTATCTTTATAATTGTGTTGGCTGGTAAGCAATGAGAAATTTCTATTTAACTTTATCCATAGTTGTTATTGTTTCCATCAAGATTACCGCATGCATGAATAATTACAGGTAGTCCTCGAGTTACAACCACAATTGAGCCCAAAATTAATGTTGCTAAGTGAAACATTTGTTAAGTGAGTTTTACCCCATTTTATGACTTCCCTTGCCATGGATATTAAGTAAATAATTGTGTTTGTTAAGTTAGTAACACGGCTGTTAAGTGAATGTAGATTCCCCATTGACTTTGCTTGTCAGAAGGTTGCAAAAGCTGATCATTACAACTCTCATAAATATGAACCAGTTGCCAAGGATTTGAATTTTGGTCATGTGACCATGGGGATGCTGCAACAGTTGTAAGTGTGAAAAATGGTCATAAGTCATTTTTTTTCAGTGCCATTGTAATTTTGAACGGTCGCTAAATGAACTGTTGTAAGCCAAGGAAGGAAGTAGCAATTATGTATGTGTGTTTTTGACATGGTGGCTCAGTGGCTAAGATGCTGAGCTTGTCTATTGAAAGGTTGGCAGTTCAGCAGTTCAAATCCCTAGTGCCGCATAATGGGGTGAGTTCCTGTTACTTGTCCCAGCTTCTGCCAACCTAGCAGTTCGAAAGCACTTTTAAAAAAATGCAAGTAGAAAAATAGGGACCACCTTTGGTGGGAAGGTAACAGTGTTCTGTGTGCCTTTGGCATTTATTTATTTATTTATTTATTTATTTTATTTTATTTTATTTCCAGTTTATATACTGCCCTTCTCCCTGAGGACTCAGGGCGGTGTACAGCCAGAATTAAGAACATAAAATACAAATATTAAAAAACAGTTAAAATATGTATAAATTTGGCCCAAAAATTAAAAATCACAAACCAATTAAAGACATTTAAAAATTTCTTCTTAAGCCAGCCCGGCTTGCTGGAAAAAGTGGGTTTTAAGGGCACGGCGGAAGGCACTGAGGTCTTGGATTCTCCTTATCTCTGGGGGCAACTGATTCCAGAGGGTAGGTGCCCCCACAGAGAAGGCCCTCCCCCTGGGGGTCACCAGCCTACATTGTTTGGCTGATGGCACCCCGAGGAGGCCCTCTCTGTGGGAGCGCACGGGACGATGGGAGGTTGTCGGTAGCAGCAGGCGGTCTCGAAGATAGCTAGGCCCGATGCCATGGAGCGCTTTAAAGGTGATAACCAACACCTTGAAGCGCACCCGGAAGACAACTGGGAGCCAGTGCAGCTCGCACAGGAGCGGTGTTACATGGGAGCGCCATGCTGCTCCCGTCACTACCCGCGCTGCTGCGTTCTGGACCAGTTGGAGCCTCTGGGTGCTCTTCAAGGGGAGCCCCATGTAGAGAGCATTGCAATAGTCAAGGCGAGAGGTGACGAGGGCGTGAGTGACTGTGCACAGGGAATCCCGATCAAGAAAGGGCCGCAACTGGCGAATCAGGCGAACCTGACAAAAGGTCCCCCTGGTTACAGCCGTCAGATGTTCCTCCAAGGACAGCTGCATATCAGCCACATGACCACGGAGACGGGCTCTCTTCAGCTTTGAAATAGAGATGAGCACTGCCCTCTAGAGTCAGGAACGACTAGCACATATGTGCGAGGGGAACCTTTATCTTTACCTTTATCAAATAAGTAAAAATGATGCTTGCAGCAGTGCAATTGAAGCTAGGATTTTTGTAGGCGTGTTAAATATTTCCTGCGTATCCACAAAGGGAAGAACTTTATTACATTGCTGTGCTTGCCATCTTTTTGACACTCTCACAAATGCTCCACGAAGTTTGCCATGTAAAAGGTAGGATAAGCCCAATGCAGATGGAAGCGGGGGGGAGGGGGGAGGAGAGAGAAAAGTAGTATAATCCAACAAACAAATTTGCATTTGGTTCCATGACCTTTCAGTCTTGATCATTTCTCTTCTGGTTTTATCACACGTGCCCAGGTATTGAGTGGCTTTTTTGAGAGGTTTTAAGTGGTGCCATCAAGTCAGTCTTTGACTCCTAGCAATTGCTTGGACAAACCCTGCAAATTTCATAGCAAAATTTTGGAAATGGTTTGTCCCTGGCTCTTTCATCTTTCTAGGCCTGAAGCGAACTAGTTTTGTGCCTAAAACAGGATTGCAACTCAAAATCTCCCAGTTTCTAATTTGATGCCTTAGCCCAGTGATGGCTAACCTTTTTGCCATCGCGTGCCAGGAAGGGGGTGGGTGGGGGAGGTTCGCGTGTGCACGTGCCCACACCCATATTTCTATGTGCCCCACGCATGTGCACACGACCCCCCTACCCCCCGCTCCTGGCATGTGATGGCCCGGTAGGCCCATTTTTCTTTCTCACCTGACTCCAGATCCTCTCTATGCATTTGGGGAGGGCAAAAACAGCCTTCCCTACCCCATCGGAGGTCCGAAACAGCCCATTTCCCAACTCCCGGTGGGACAGGAAGTGACGTTTTTTGCTATTGCCAGCCTCCAAAGAGAGGCCCCTCTCCCTTTCCTCTCCCTACAGGTAGTGAGGACTACTTGTATTTACAGGTTAATTCACTTGGTTTTCTTTTTTAAAAAGTCCTTGAATTGCAATTTAAAGGAGTTAGGTTAATGCTGATTATTCAAACTTTGTCGTCAGAACTGTAGTTAATCACGAGCTCTAATATTTACCCAATTTGTTTTATTTCTAGTTAAACCTTATGAAGAAAAACCTTGTCCAATTTGTGCTCCCTGTGTACGTTTTGCCTGCCCAGAGTCTTGGATTATAAATGACGGGAAGTATTTCTATGTATCAAAAGAAGCAGCAAATTGGTCTACAAGTTGGAACATCTGTTCCTCATTTAATGCCTCCTTGGCTGTGATTGCTACACAGAAGGAATTGGTAAGGAATAAGTGGACAAAAAGTAAAAAATATTAATTATATTTATTATTATCCATATAGTACTAAACTGTCATTGAATTTATCTGTTTGTCCCCCCCATGTCAGCCCAAATGGAACAATTTTTGAATCAAGGTATGTAAAATCCAATCATTGTCTTGACATTCATAAATACTCAAACAATAAGCAGTTTATATGTTGTCTGTCTGTACACTACATCAGCCGAAAAAGTGTATCAAACTGGAACAAACTTTGAATCAAGGTACTTTTAAGTCCTCTAATTTAGAGAATATGTAAAAAATCCAGGACCTGTTACTCCTGTGAAATCTTACCATGTCCAGACCTGTTTTATTCACAAAGTTATGTCCTTTGCAGCCTTTCCATGGTCATGTGATTATGATTTACAATGTCCCCTGCCAGCTCCTCACAAGCAAAGCCAATGGGGAAGCCAACAGGGAGTTGGAAGTCTCTTCCCACTACCACTGCTTTTTTGCCCGCCTGCCCGCCCACGGTCATTCTGATTAATCTGTTTAGCTAAATAAACAATGACTTGTTATTGCAGTTCATTTTTCACTACAATTATTTTTCTATTTATGACACATAAACCCTCCTTAGATATATGATATCACTATCTAGCATTGGGGTTAAAAATGAAAATGGTCGACCTAAAATTTAATGTTCATTTTTGACACCTCACTCTCTCTTAAAAAGCAACCCCAATGGGTCACAGTTATTTATCATTATTGGTTTCTTTTAGTCAGCAAGATGTTTCGACTGGATTTGGCATTTTTGTCCACCTATCGAGTTCTTCCCAAGGACAAGGAATAGGCAGGTGTTGGTGTTTTATGGTATTAAAGGAGTCGTTGTAGGATATACCGTATTTTTCGGAGTAGTATAGAGTATAAGACGCAGCTTAGTTTTTGGGGAGGAAAATAGGGGGGAAAAATCTGCCTACCAGGTATTCATCTGGCTAGCATCCTTAGTCTGGTCAGCTTCAGCACATTAGTTTGCTGGTTTTTTATCCCCTGCTTGGGAATAAAAAACAGCTTCTAAGGCACAGCTGAGAGGAAGCAGCAATGAGAAAAGCAGGCAAAGCACGGGGAGATCGCTTCACTCTGCTAGCGCCTAGTTAGGGCTGAAAAAAAGCTTCTAAAGAACAGCTGAGAGTCGGAGGCAGCAAGCAAAGCAGGGAGATGCTTCACTCACTAGCGCCTCATTAGGGCTGAAAAAAAAGCTTCGAAAAAGCTACATTCAGAGTTTAAGACGCACCCAAGTTTTCAGCCTCTTTTAGGGGGGGAAAAGGTGTGTCTTATGCTCCAAAAAATACGGTAAGCTGTTCCCAGTAAAATTGCCTTTTGCAATTTACTGATGGTGATTTTATCAATGCCAGTGGTGCTGAATGGTGGTCCAGTTGTTTTGGGATTGCACCAAAAACAATTATGACTCTTGGTATTTCTATATATTTTTTGATTTTCTCCATTTCTTTCTCTTCTATTATGCTGCCTCCAGGTACTGCAACTATCCATGCTTTGTAGTCTTTCTTATTGATGGTTATTAAATTTGGGGTGTTATATGGCAAGTGCCTTTCTATTTGAATTCTAAAGTCCCAGAGCAATTTAACGTCTTCTTAATTTTCTGCTACTTTCTCAGTTTTATGGTTCCAATTATTTATTGTTATTTATTGTTATTATTTTCTATTCACAACAATGTGAAGCCATAGCTGCCAGTTTTTAAGTTGGTGTTGCATCAAGCTCTTACTAAGAACCACAGGATTTTGTAGTGCTGTATACTGTCTATATAGAACAGTGGTTTTTTTACTACTGGTTCTGTGGGAGTAGCATGGCGGGGCTTGGTGAGCATGACTTGTGGGCGTGGCAGGGGAAGGATACTGCAAAATCCCCATTCCCTCCCCACTCCTGAGGGAAGGATATTGCAAAATCCCCATTCCTTCCCCACTCCTGAGGGAAGGATATTGCAAAATCCCCATTCCTTCCCCACTCCTGAGGGAAGGATATTGCAAAATCCCCATTCCCTCCCCACTTGAGGGAAGAATATTGCAAAATCTCCATTCCCACCCCAATCTGGGGCCAGCCAGAGGTGGTATTTGCTGGTTCTCTGAACTACTCAAAATTTCCGCCACCGGTTCTCCAGAACCTGTCAGAACCTGCTGGATTTCACCCCTGATATAGAGGGATCCAAACAGTGTGGCCTTTTATAATTGACAGATGGAAATGTCAGTGCAGAGCTCTTAAGGTTTTTTTTTTTTGGTATGGCACTTAGCCTGCTGATAACCACTGGAACCACCACGACCGGTTTATGTTATAAACATAATTGCCTTCACAGAGCAATCTTTGTAAGCTTAGACATGCCAAAGCATCTTGATATTTTTTCCAAAGCTTTCACAGCTGCCCTACCAATTACTAGTCTGCAGACCATTTCTTGATCAGTAGTTCTTAGTGGAGCCTTAAAGGCAGAAACTATCCACTACTTCGGTATCTTCATTTTCAATTATAACACTGGTTCTTCTACATGGTCGTCTTTATATAGAATTTCATTCTATGCCATTTTTTTTCCACTTTAGCCCTTGACTTTTATTTTAGAGCATGATGATCCTTCGCATTTTTGCAGTGGTGAAATCCAAAGTTTTTTACTACCGGTTCTGTGGGAGTGGCTTGGTGGGCATGGCAGGGAAAGGATACTGCAAAATCCCCATTCCCTCCCCACATCAAATTAATGGAACATAACCAAATAAACACATCATCTGCATAAAGCTGCCATCCATAAGCATTTTTATTATTTTGATGAGTTATTAATAAATATTTAAGGAGGAATATCATTATGAGTAAGAGAAACTAATATATTCCTGTTGAGTCCTATGTAATGCACTTTAAATTTAACTACAGATATATATTGCACTGAAAAGCTTGATTTAATATTCCTCCATTTAGTGGAGTTTGTACACAATGGACCCAATTTTTATGTAGCTATCTGCCCAAAATAATGGACAAGCCCACTGTATCTGAAATAGTTCTGACAAGGCTGTTACGTATGCATTAATTTTATCTTAGTTGATTATGATCTTGTACAAATGAAATACATTTGACATAAATTGTGTATTTTGGCATTCAGTAGATGGTAAAAAAGTAATAGACACTTGCTTTCGAAAATCAATGTGTTAAATGAGGATTTTATTATACATTATTTCCTTTCTCCTAGGACTTTTGTGCAAGTATGTTACATTCCGATTACTGGTTTGGACTCTCAGGAAAAGATCAAGTTTGGAAATGGCCCAATGGTACAGAGTTTACAAATCAGTAAGTATGTTTCATCTATTTATAGAACTTACACAGCTATTTACCTATTTAATGCATTTATACACATCATACTAAAGCTTGAGTGGCTGAAAGAATAAGAATCAAGCATCTCTCCTCGAAAATAAGACACAAAAAGGGAGGAAAAATGAAAAAAGCAGCGCCACAGATGTAACAAGCCACGCAGTGTCCTGCCACAAGCATTGGCACTGGCGCGACGTGCCTTGTGGCATTCTGTCGTGAGCTGTGGCAGCGGGACCGGCACGATGAGCCATGTGGCATCCGGACGGAAGCAGGCATACAAGAAGTCAAGCAGCAACGCATCAGGTGTCGGGGCATGGGAGGCCTGGCTACTAAGGAAAGTGGGTGCAGGATATGTGGAACAGTTCTAACCCCCCTCCTCCGCCCTAGCTTGATTTTTACACGTAGGCCCCGGCCAAACAATGGCCGGGGGTTAACTAGGGCATATTTGGGTGGTAGGGCTTATATTAGATGCAGACATGAAAATCAGGCTAGGGCTTGTTTTTGGGGTAGGTTGTATTTTCAGGCAAACATGGTAGTGAAATGGCAAATGTGAGTGTACGTATTAAAGTTCATACTTTTTGTGTTGATGTATCAGCCACCCCAATCTGATTCAAATCCTCGATCTTGTGAATTCTCAAGTTTCCTCTTTCCGCTACATATTCAAAATGGACAGTGATAAATATATACATGTGTGTGTGTATATGTGTGTTTATATGTGTGTATGTATGTGTGTGTGTATAAATACATATACACCAGAGGTGGGTTTCAGCAGGTTCTGACCAGTTCTGGAGAACCGGTAGTGGAAATTTTGAGTAGTTCGGAGAACCGGTAGTAAAAATTCTGACTGGCCTCACCCCCATCTATTCTCTGCCTCTCAAGTTCCAGCTGATCGGGAAGGAAATGGGGATTTTGCAGTATCCTTCCCCCGGAGTGGGGAGGGAATGGAGGTTTTACAGTATCCTTCCCCTGCCATGCCCACCAAGCCATGTCATGCCCACCAAGCCACTCCCACAGAACCAGTAGTAAAATTTTTTGAAACCCACCACTGATACACACATACATACATACATATGATATGGTATATATTTATGTATGTATATAGCAGGGGCATATGAATGTGTTTGGATAGATATACTTTTTCTCTTGAGAATACAAAACAGAATTTCACTTTTAATGTGGATCGGTATGCTCACATTAAAAAAAAAATGACAGTAAAAGTTATCTTAATTCAAAATGTTTCCTCAGCTTCCTTTAGAAAAGCATACGTATTTGAAAAGTAATCAGATCAGGCTGACTAGACAATTGGATTGGGTGAAGGGATCTGATTGTAGATTCCATCAAATGGACTTCAAATTAAATATCCTAATCAAATAACTGGAATATGCAGATAAAAGAGAGAAAGTATGCACCTGAAATTTCAATTCAAAATTTCAATGGCTGAGCATAATACTTCAGAGGTGCTAGGAACTTGCCTAAAGATCCCCTTGATCACTGAAATTTGAAACCAAAATTTTACTTTTGCACTTTATATTTCAACATCCAAATGCTGTAGATTTCCTGATGTGTTTGACAAACCCCATATATGCTCCCTCAGCATTTAATAGCTCAGATTATTATATTTTATAATAATATATATAGATTAATATATATTATATTTGAGCTAATTTCTTTATTTCTCTAATTTATATGCTGCCCCTCTCGCTATCCAAAACGACTTGGGGCAAAAATATGGAAACCAAATATATCTTTAACAAATTACTTAGGAAGTGCTCACAGCTTGTAATATTCAGATTTAACGTGTAAAGGAAGTTTTGAAAATAATTTCTAAGACAGACATAAGTTTCACTAAGAGTTGGCTGGCTCTCTCTCAGGTTCTAGATCCCATTGATGGTTTAAAAACATTCTGGAATCTCTTCTAATAACAGAAAGTAGAAAAAGCTGCCATGTTTCAACTATCAATGTCATTTACGCCTGCCAGGCAAGACTTTTACTCCTCTGTGAAGTTGAGGATATGACCATCATGTGCTATGGAGTTGTTCCAGATGCCTGAAAATGGATACTTCCTGCTTTATGTTTGTGCATGTGTGTATTTATATGTACACCAGCTTTTCCCAGTCATGTATCCTTCAGACATGTTTATCGGACAAAACTTCTATAAACTCCAGACTTCATAATCAAGTTGATCCACTGCACCATGTAGGCATATTGTTGGCTGATGTTCCCTACGCTCTAAAGCTGGGAATCTTCATGGAAGGATCCTTCCTCCAATGCTAATTTCTGTTCATGCAGATATGGTAGTAATCCCTTGTCCTCTTTTGCAGGTTTCCAGTGAAAGGAGAAGGCTTCTGTGCTTATGTAAATGGAAAAGGGGCCGATAGTACCATGTGCTCTGTGGAGAAACTTTTTCTTTGCAGCTATCCAGAAGATTGTCGCAAAACTTGATAGATAACCTCATCAAAAGATGGAAGTTCCTGGCTTAATTGGAATTCACTGGAGAAGCACATGTGCCGTATCTCTCCTCCAATCACACATCTGGATTGGATACTTGCCAAATACATTTTAGTTGTAATCCAAATGGAAAGATGGAATTAACTATAAATTGTACATGGATTTAAATGTAAAACATTTGGGCAGAAAAAAACTAACGGTATAAGTACAGATTAGGTGAGACCTGGCTCAAAAACAGTAACTGTGAAAGGGACCTTGGGAGTCCTAGTGGATGATTACTTGAATATGAGCCAGCAGTGTGTGGTGACAGCAAAAAAAAAAAAAACCTAATAGAATCCTGGGTTGTATAAACAGAGGCATAAAATCAAAATTACTTGAAGCATTAATACCACTTTATAAAACCTTAGTAAGTAAGTAGCTTAGTGATGGACATTGAACATCAAAAATGTCATCAAAAAAAGCACAACAAAGAATGTTCTTTCTGTGCCAACTCAGGAAGCTCAAGCTGCCCAAGGAGCTGCTGATACAATTCTACAGAGGAATTATTGAGTCTGTCATCTGCACCTTTATAACTGGTTTGGTTCTGCAACCCAACGAGACAGACACAGACTTCAGAGGATAATTAGAACGAAAAATGTAAACAAAAATTATTTTTTTTTAAAAAAAGATTGTGTTGTAAATATGATCTTGAAGTGAGCTCAAATTGTATTTTGAATTTGTTTGGTAACTTTATTTTAATATGTATAGTAATACGATCAAAGTATTACAGAAAAAACTTTCATTAAAATTATTTTATATTTATGCATTTCAGTTCTCTATTGTATGTTTTGAAACTTTATTTGCTGTTTGTTTAATATCCCTTCATACTATTATTTTTTAAGTTCCTCAGTACTTCTACTGTCTTTTGTTCTTTTATTTTTCTTTTATGGATGCCATGTTCTTTGGAACTTTGTTTAAACCAAGTTAATGGCCTTTTAGGCTTCCTCTGTGTGAGTAGGAGTTTCTTTTTGAATAGTAAGAATTATATGTCGGGGGGGGGTGGCATCAGGATTTTAGAGATGCTTAGGTGGGGCATGGCCAAAAAAAGGTTGGGAACCACTGATGTACACTGAGAGCGTAGGCACCAAGACAAATTCCTTGTGCGTCCAATCACACTTGGCCAATAAAAAATTCTATTCTATTCTATTCTATTCTATTCTATTCTATTCTATTCTATTCTATTCTATTCTATTCTATTCTATTCCCACCCAGTCACATGCCTCCTTAGCCACGCCTACCCACAGTCATTAGGGCAGAGAACCGGTTGTTAAAAGATTTGTTAAGAGAGAGAAGTAAATATTATTTTTACATTTATTGAATGAATATTAATATAATAAATATTGTTGTAAACTATTATTATCATGCAAAATATTTGACACAGTTTAATTGAAGATGGAATTTATAAATCTTAAGAAATAAAAAAACTTTATAAAAAAAACCCACCAGGAGTCACAAAACCATTTTGACATCTAAAATGATGTCAAATGATATCCCCCTCTCTCCCTCTCTCTATAGATAGATAGATAGATAGATAGATAGATAGATAGATAGATATCCGCCTCTCTCTCTCCCGATCTTTCTGTATATTTATCTCCCCCTCTCCCTCCCTCCCTCTCTCCCGCTATCACTCTCCCCCCTCCCGCCCTACGTATCTCTCTCTGTGTTTCTCTGTTTCTGTGTGTGTTTCTGTGTCCATTTCTCTTTCTGTCTCCCTGTCTTTCTGTCTCGCCCTCCCTCCCCCCCTTTCTCACAGCCTCAATCTGAAACCTAGGAAGAGGGATAGGGGAGCAAAGGAGATTGCATTTTCCAATTAAGAGAGCTTAAAATCTACAATGCTGCTTTTTCAGAATGCTGAGCCAAAAAAACCCTTTTCTTGAGTGGAGAGGAGGAAAACCACCTCCTGCTCCCACCACCGCCCTGCAAACCTGTCCACAGCAGAGGCGCCATCCTCAGGGCCAGAGGTTGGGAGGGTTTCCTGCTGGTGACATTGCCTCGCTGCCACCTGACAGGCAAAGTAGGGGTGACAGGCCCTCTTTATCACGAGGGCCTCCTGGAAGGGATCTTGCCACTCCAGCTCTCCCTTGGTGTGCTCCCTGGGGCCAGATGTTATAATTAAACTTTTCCCGCCACACCGAAACTGGGCAGCGAAAGGTGAGCATCCCAAGAAAGGTGGGGAGCGGCAGTGGGGGCATTCAGGGCAGGGGACACTGCCATCTTTCGTGCGCTCCCCTCCCTCCCCACACGTGTCAGTCCTGCCATGCCAGGTAGTATTCCAGGAAGCTTTGCTAGCCACCCTCACAATCCTGCCTGCAATGCCACCGCAGGTGTCCCAAGCAAGATTTGGCGAGGCGCTTCAGAGAAGAGAAAGATCCATCTGAAAGATCGGGAGGGCCGTGCGGGAAGAGAAAAGCCAGAGAAACTTGCAAGAGTGGAGATAGGAGAGCAAAGCAAGCAAGTGAACCTTCGGCCTGCTGGCTGGCCTCTTTATTCTCCCTCACTCTCGAGGCAGCCCTCTGGAATGGCAGCAGCAGCACAAGTGGCTGCGAGAGGAAGAGAGTGAGACCCAGACGCTTTCCGGCTCCCCTCGTCACAGAAGCATCAACCCCGTACTTTCTCCTCTCTGCTAGCGGCTGCCCCCTTCTCCGTTCCTTCAGTAAGGACCTGAAGACATGGCTATTTAAGCAAACTGGCTGAGTCTGTTCTGGGAGTTTTAATTAATTGTGGGTTTTAAACTGAATTTTAATTGTTAATTTTAATCATATTTATTATTGTTGTTTTACTGTGATTTTATTGCTGTGAGCCGCCCCAGGAGAAGGGCAGCACATAAATTTTAATAAACTTAAACTTAAACTTCTCCCTCTTCCTCCTCCCTCCTCGGTGATCCTGTGTGAAAAACAGGGCAGCTGCTAGCAAAGAGGGGAGAGTGCGGGGTTGATGTTTCTGTGACGAGGGGAGCCGGAAAGCATCTGGGTTTCACCCGGCCTCTCTTCCTCTCGCAGCCACATGTGCTGCCACTGCTGTTCCAGAAGCCTTTCCTTGGGAATGAGAGGAAATAAAGAGGCCAGCCGGCAGGCCGAGGTTTCACTCGCTTGCTTTGTTCTCCCCTCTCTGCTCTTGCAAGTTTCGCTGCCTTTTCTCTTCCCACGTGTCCCTCCCAATCTTTGAGACTGTGGCCAGAGCAGTGGCAGGGAGGGGAGCTCGTGGGAGATGGCAGCATCAGAGCCGTCCCTGGCTCTTCCCTGAAGTCGCCCTGGCCTAGGTGGGTGATCCCTTGTGAAGCTGCTGGACAATCCCATGTGAAGAAGGGGCCGGCTGCTAGCAGAGACATCCTGAAGTTGGTTCTTCTCCGGGACAAGGAAGCTGGCTGCAGCTGTAGGAAGTTAGCACCTACCCCTTTCCTAGAAGAATGAAATATTTTGGGAAATATTAAAAAGGCAGAATATTATGTTTCCCTGGATGAGAAATGGAGAAGCATGTTTAAAAGAAAAAGCAGCTCCCACCTTCCTGCCCCCACCCTTTTGTTAATGGGCCAGAGGCAGAAACTCAATCTTTGTCAATGGACCTCATCTGCAAGACAATGGGACCCATTTAGCAACAGAAACTCACCACATGACACCTGGGAAGATTACATCAGCCAGCAGGGCTAGCTAAGACCCCACCCCCTGGAAGTCTGACAACCAATCAGGATACTCTTTCTGGGCCCCAGGAAGTTCAAAGCCAGAGAGAGCATAAAAACTCGGAGATTCGCTGTATCTGCCCTTTTCTGTTCAGAAACTCAAGCCATGTGATCCTGTCAACCATTAAACCATCTTTCCAAGCAGACTCCATGTTTCCAGTGTCTTTTTCCCCACTTTTTTTTTTTAAATTTCAGGGCTGTTTTGGCTAACTATCGTCCAGTCTCCAACCTTCGCTTCGTTGCGAAGGTTGTTGAGAGTGTGGTAGCGCAACAGCTTCCCCGGTACCTGGATGAAAACTGTCTATCTGGACCCGCTCCAGTCCGGCTTCCGGCCTGGGCACAGCACGGAAACGGCATTGGTCGCGTTGGTGGATGATCTCTGGAGGGCTCGGGATAGGGGTTGCTCCTCTATCCTGGTCCTGTTAGACCTCTCAGCGGCTTTTGATACCATCGACCATGGTATCATGTTGCACCGGTTAGCGGGGTTGGGGGTGGGGGGCACCGTTCTGCGGTGGTTCTCCTCCTACCTCTCTGACCAGTCGCAATCTGTGTTGACAGGGGGGCAGAGGTCGACCCCGAGGCACCTTGCTTGTGGGGTGCCACAAGGGTTGGTCCTCTCGCCCCTTCTGTTCAACATTTATGTAAAGCCGCTGGGTGAGATCATCCGTGGCTTCGGGGTGGAGTTCCATCAGTACGCTGATGACACCCAGCTGTACATCTCCACCCCAGGCCACCCCAACGATGCCCTTGAAGTGATGTCCCAGTGCCTGGAGGCCGTGCGGGCCTGGATGGGGAGAAACAGGCTCCGACTCAACCCCTCCAAGACCGAGTGGCTGTGGCTTCCAGCGTCCCGATATAGCCAGCTGACGCCATCGCTGGCTATTGGGGGCGAATCACTCGCCCCCACGGAGAGGGCTCGCAACTTGGGCGTCCTCCTGGACGCACGGCTGTCTCTAGAAGACCATTTGACGGCCGTGGCCAGGGGGGCTTTTTATCAGGTTCGCCTGATATGCCAGTTGGGCCCCTTTCTAGATCGGGACTCTCTACGCACAGTCACTCAGGCACTAGTCACTTCCCGCCTGGACTACTGCAACGCTCTCTACATGGGGCTCCCCCTGGGGTGCACCCGGAGGCTCCAGCTGGTCCAGAACGCGGCCACGCGGGGGATTATGGGGGCGACGAGGCGCTCCCATGTGACACCTCTCCTGCGCGAGCTGCACTGGCTCCCGGTGGTCTTCTGGGTGCGCTTCAAGGTGTTGGTGACCACCTTTAAAGCGCTCCATGGCTTAGGGCCGGGGTACTTACGAGACCGCCTACTGCCACCAATAGCCTCCCACCGGCCAGTACGCTCGCACAGAGTGGGCCTTCTCAGGGTGCCATCCGCCAGACAATGTCGGCTGGCGACCCCCAGGGGGAGAGCCTTCTCTGTGACGGCGCCCACCCTCTGGAATAACCTTCCCCCAGAGTTACGTATAATAACAGACCTCCGGATTTTTCGTCGGGCCCTGAAAACTTATTTATTTCAACTAGCTGGGCGGGCTTGAGCTAAATTTTAAATTGATTTTAAATTGGGTTGTTTTAATTTACGGCCAGAATATTTAATTATTTTAATACTGTTTTTTAAATTTTGTATGCTTTGTTTTTACTTAGGCTGTGCACCGCCCTGAGTCCTATTTGGAGAAGGGCGGTATAGAAATTTAAACAAATAAATAAATAAATAAATTTGATTTATATGCCGCCCTTCTCCGAAGACTCAGGGCGGCTTACAATGTGCTCAGCAATAGCCTTCATCCTTTTGTATATTTATACAAAGTCAGCTTATTGCCCCCACAACTGGGTCCTCAAATTACCTACCTTAGAAAGGATGGAAGGCTGAATCAACCTTGAGCCTTGGCGAGATTCGAACCCTGCAGTAATTGCAGGCAGCTGGTCTTAATAACCAGTTTAATAACAGGGTGCCTTAAACCTCTGTACTACCAAGGCTTGGAGCAGAATCCAGAAGGATATTTCTTCCAACACAGCTGCTCATCCGCCCACCCTCTGGCCGGGGAGCACGTGGTGACATGATAGCTGTCAGGCCTCCTCCCTTC